AGATAGGAGAGGAAGAAGCCGTTGAAGAAGACGCCTTGTGCACCAAGGACCATGAGTCGCATAAACCACCCTGGCTCGGCGACTTTCAAGAAGGTGAGCAAGTGCATGCGCTCGTTGTAGGCCTCCTCGAGCAGAGTTTCGATCCATCCATTGTCCCTCTTCATCCGTCTCAGGCTTCTTAGATGTCTCAACATGCCTCCAACCATTCCTGGTACCCCAGCAACACTCTCCAGGAAGACGAATCGAGTGAGCCATTTCTGCTCGGTCATCTGGAACTTGGCCTCATGTTCTTTGCCCGGAGGAGGATGTCGGTACCCGGTTACAAAGTCCATGCCCCATCGGAGCAATCGAACGGTGCTGAGTGCTACCCAGTCTGCCCAGTCCTTTGTTTCCCGGTGAGCAACTGTGACGTGGCGCATCTGTTCTTCGGTATAACTAGTATTGTTAGCACCCACTCTCATACTAACCAGAATGCTTTAAGTGAAGGGGTTCTTACACAGGGTGGGCCCATGCGGTCTCTACCTCCTTGATGTGAGGCGCAGTTGGTGGAGGGAAGAATTCCTTCGTTTGTGTGTGCGGTGTCGATGAGATGGAACGTTTGGTGTTCCGGTGGTTGATTTTGCTCGCTAGCAATGGACCGCCGCATCGTAGTCCAGCTGTGGCAACAGAACCGGTGCATCCTCGGATTGTGAGGTGCAGGTAGGACTTCGGAAGTGAAGCTGCCCTAAGGGGCACTGCGGTTGTTATCGAATTCATCCGAGTATAAGTTATTGCAATGAACTTGAGGTTCAGTAATAGTAGTAGTAGTAGAAAGAGTCCTGTTTTGATCACAAAAGGCTTGCTGTTTACTGGATACTGGGACCTCACGTCTCTACTGTGTATCTATATATAGTCTTGGATGAGAAGGTTATGGCAGAAATCGGAATAAGGCCGGAACCAGACAAAGCCAGTATACTGTCATAGGGCGCAAAATCTTCTCGCCAGAACATGCTGACAATTCGGACGACTCTGAGCCACACCGGGATGACCAACTGAGATCCGTTTGCGGGATTCTGACATGCCTTCCAAACAATAAAATCAAGATATGGAACGGGTATTTCTTGGCGGGTCCTCTAGGGACCAAACTTTCAAGCCTTTAGAAGTTACACCGAAGTTACATGGAAGCCACCGTCGCGAACATCCTCTCGACACCTAAAGTCCTCAACTGACGTATGTAATACTGGAACCCCCCTGGATCCTTTCTGCAGCTGAAGTGAAAGCGAATTTAAAAGTCTCCCCATTATCCCTATACCCGAGAAAGAACCTGGGTATCCAGCGGCGAGATACCGTATATTACATATTGATACGGCGTGTGTAATTTAAAAATATACGAAGGGGCGGGCAGATGACTTCGGTGGAAACCGGAACGGCGTCTGACTCAACGCGATGCCGAAGCTTGACCTCCGAGTCGATTCGGAACCCCGATCGTCTTTGGTTGATTCAGTACGGAGTACTCCATAGTACTATAGCAGTTTATCGGGCTCTCCATACGTCAGACCCCTTGCAAATTTTCCTCAGCTCTGAACTCCTTACGTACAGCAGATCCCGAATGCCCTTATATGGAAACCCTTCGTACTATATTATATCGTGAGCTTCACTTTTCCCGGCCGAGAAGTAGAGATATTTTGTTTGTGTCGATTCCCAAGTAAGGAACGGGAAGACAAGTACTCCATACCTCCACAGTGCATTAGTGGAATTATGGCAACAGCAATGTGATAATGGAGGGCCTCCCCTTCGTTTATGATGCGTGTGAGGGAAAGGGAGGGTGAGAGACACCGAACTAACTACTAATCGTCGAGAGTGACAGTCCCTAAGTGATACACGATATATCCATTGAGATCTCCTTCTGGGATTAACGATGATGTGGCACTAGACTTGACCTTGTTGAAGTCACCCAATGGCCGGGGTAAGAAATGCAAGCTGATTGTGCTTGCTTTATCTATGACACATTGATTGGCCAGCTTGTTGGTTATTTCGAGATTTGGTGGTCCTAAGGCGGACAGTTAGGATGGGAGGCCTAACTGCCTCAGCCTCGAAGAAACTCTGTACTCGTCGTATGAGTTGAGCTTATTCTTGGGATTCGTATTCAATTCAGGGCGCAAGAGATAGATGGGATCGCGGCGCCATCTCCAGCTCTATCGGCCTCCTCGATGTGTTTGAACTGCTGCGCAGCCACCATGTTCTCCTTCCTGAGTGGTACTCAGAGGACTACGCAGTTCTGGTTTCGTGCTCTTATCTCCTGGACCTTCGCCTCATCGCTCGTCTGCGCTGAAACACCATTCTCACCAGTCATGGGTGGACTCTACAAAGAGCTGCCTGAGGGGCTTGACGAGGTCGATGTCGTCATCGTCGGAGGTTCGTGGATCCATACGGACTGCTGCACTGAGTTTCGGCTTGGTCAACATGCTATGAACCACGAAAGCTAACCAATGGATTTTTGACATAGGCGGCACCGCGGGCTGCGTCGTGGCATCTCGACTAAGTGATGCCTACCCCACCCTATCCATTCTGATTGTTGAGGGTGGCCGAGACAACCAAGGCCTTCGAAATGTCACCTACCCCGTGCTCCTGCTCAACAACATCTTGCCCGGAAACACCGACACGCTTTTCTATGAGGGTATCACTGAGAAGGCCGTGGGCAATCGCTCGCTTGTCGTGCCGTCCGGCGGTGTCCTCGGCGGCGGCTCGTCTATCAACCTGCTCACCTACAGCCGTGCTCAAGCCGTAGACTACGACCAGTGGGGAGTCGAGGGGTGGTATTCCAAGGACTTGGTTCCCTATCTCCAAAATGTATAGGATGCTGTATCCACTGATCTAGTTCGTTGTGGGCAATTGGGCACTGGCTGACTCGCTCGGTAGCTCGAGACTTATAAAGGTGAGGGCACGCCCGAGACACACGGCTACTCTGGCCCCATGATCGCCACCGCAAGCAACTACACGGCAAAGGCGTCCGAGGAGGGCTTCATCAAGGCAGCTGCCAAGCTCGGCTACCCGGAGGCTCGCGACATCCAGGACCTGGAGACCATCAATGCCACACAGCGCAACATCCGCTACGTGAGCGGAGGCAAGCGCCAGGATGCCGCCTCCAACTACCTGCACCCGCGCCTCGGTGATGGCGTCCACCCCAGCCTCTACGTCCTCACGCAGCACCAGGTCATCCGTGTGCTCTTTGACGGCAACAAGGCCTCAGGCGTCGAGTTCAGGCCCAACCCCAAGTTCAACGATGGTGCCGAGAAGCCTGTGCAGAGGGTCAAGGCCAAGAAGCTCGTCGTTCTCTCCGCTGGCGCCCTGGGCACCCCGCTTGTGCTGGAGCGCTCTGGCGTGGGCGACCCTGAGATCTTGGGCAAGGCGGGCGTCGAGGTTGTCGCCGAGGTGCCCGGCGTGGGAGCCGAATACCAGGACCATCAGCTGATGACCTACGCCTACTACTCGAGCCTCCTGCCCAACGAGACCTTTGACGCGATCTACTCAGGCCGCACCAACGTCGACGAGCTCATTAAGAAGAACGACCCCATCATAGGCTGGACCGCCGCCGATGTCTACTCGAAGCTCCGGCCCAGCGACGAGGAGGCCAAGGCTCTTGGGCCTGCGTTTGAGAGCGCCTGGAACCGCGACTACAAGACTTACCCAACGAAGCCACTTTCCATGATCACTTCGCTCAACGGGTAAGCCGTCTCCAACCCCTTCTGTCATCGTGGTTGCAGAATATACTGAGAACATTTCCTCTCCAGCTTCCCCGGCGACTCCACCGGCCAGCCTGAAGTCCAGTACTTCTCCTGCTCCACCTTCACCCCGTACCCCTACTCCCGTGGCCACCTCCACATCACCTCCAAGGACCTTGACGCGTCCGTCGACTTCGCCACGGGTTTCTTCGCCGACGAGGGCGACATCGACATCAAGAAATCTGTCTGGTCCTACAAGAAGCAGCGTGAGATTATCCGCCGTATGGACGTCTACCGCGGCGAGTTTGCCCCGCTGCACCCGGCTTTCGCCGCCGACTCGGACGCCGCCACCCCCTCGGAACCCCTTGACGCCCCTCTGCCCGACGATGTACCCGACATTGTGTACACGGCCGAGGACGACGCGGTACTGGAGCAGTGGCTGCGGGCTAATGTAGGCACGACGTGGCACTCGCTGGGAACGTGCAAGATGGCACCCAAGAGCGAAGGCGGCGTTGTCGACTCGAGCCTGAGCGTGTACGATGTCGAGAAGCTCAAGATTGCCGATCTGAGTGTGCCGCCGGGCAACGTCGGTGCCAATACGGCTAATACTGCGTTTATGATCGGCGAGAAGGCGACCGACATTTTCATTCAGGAGCTGAAGGGACATGATGACTGAGGCGGCGACAACGGATGCCCTTAATCATGGCACATACATGTAAATAATGCTGCATTTGTGCATATTGTCTTATTGCCTGTTTCCTTCTGATAATTTAAATTCCAAAACTTGCGCCTCAGTCCCTTGGCTATAAACTTTCATCCGAAAAGATGGTGGCAGGCTAGCATCCCGTCTATACTACTATCAATTATTATATATATCATCATCTCGTGGCTCTCTCCTGATGACGAGACTTGTGATGATGGCCGGCCTCTCAGTTCATCATGCCCTGTTCTCACAACATTCGCCCAGCTTCGAATTAAGGTTAATTAGACATTTCACTAAGGCCTCCGAGCTCCGAGGGAATTTGAGCAGATTATAGGTCGGAGGCAAGTCATGACTTCCGCGAGCAATGACCTACCGGAGGTCGGTCTTAACGCTCCGAGCAACACAACTAATAGAAGAATACCTACCTATTTCCTTCGATTATATTGGCATTCATAGTGACATCCAGGAGTGTATACATGAACATTATTCACACAGCTTAGTATATACACACCTCATTCATTGGTATACCCGTACATACAATCGATCGCTCAAAGCCCCAAGTTCGCCTAATGACAGTCACACATTAAGAAATGAGATCAGTTCGTAGCATCAAAAGCCGACTCGGAGGTGCGCATGACTCCGAAATAGGCCTCCCCATCCTGAACGGCAAGATCCTTCTTCTCCACTTTCACAACATGCGCCAGTCGTGGGCCGTTGTTGATTTCCTTGAGCAGTTTTTGAATGGACTCTGGAGTTCCTTGGGCTTCGCCTTCGACCTGATGATCTGATCAGTCATAGGAGGCGTTGTAGAAGCTGGACATGGGATTGACCCATGTTCCAGGATTGTTGACCAGGGAGGGGAAAAGAAAGAGTAAACACGAACCCGTCCACAGGTAGTATTTCTCACCCAGCCCTTTAAGCCAAACTCGGCTGCACGCCTCTGTGTGAAGTCACTGCAACATAGCAATGGTCAATATATTGCTCGGTTTGCTAGTAGAGTGGCTGAGCCCTACCGGAAGCCGACACCTAGATGATTGATTGCTCTAGTTAGCCACCCCGGTTTCCATCTTCCAGACTGCATTGTGCTCTATTGACAGACTGATACAAACCTAGACACGATCTCGTAATTACCTACCTTGAACGGTACCACTGACCTTGAATGCAATCTGCATAACATATCAGCCTCACTTCTGCCCTGTACAGTAGAAGTAATGACGTAACGGATGAATGCGGGGTGTTGTTGTTATCTTTTGCTGGCGATGAGGGGAGGGGACTGTACCCGTTGGGCAGACATGTTGAGATAGCTGTGTTTTCTTTCCGGAGAAAGTATTTCTGCAAATATCGATCTATGTCTTCGTCTTGATCGTATACTATATTGTAGTTTGTTTGATGTTCACAGCAATGGAAGTGGTTGTAGACCCATTAGTCATCTGCCTGTACGAAGAGCTGTGACAAGGCTGTTTGTCAATTACAGTACGGTGTACTAACAGGTTCAAATACAACGAGTTGACTGGTGTTCTTATTGAGTTCTACCACGAAGATCCCCTACACAGTAGTATTTGATAGCTATAGTTACGGCAACCTTGACAGATCGTGCTTATATGTCTAAACTTTGAGTATTGACGTCATTAAATATACCTCCAAAGCGATCTATGTTTTCTCACTGTCTTCACTCTTTGTAGAAATAGGTAATTTAATACCCTCTTTCTTCTCATTCTACCATTCCTAGAATAATACATATGGCCCAATTGATTAGTACTTTGATCGAAGCTCATCAGTGACCAGTCACCTGATTCCCCCAGATCAACCCGTGATCCCGCTTATCGCCAATCAACGTTCCGCCCCTGAACCAATAATAGATTTAATCCTCGGTTTGTTCCCAAAATATTGTTGTTTCTCCGCAATCAGTCCCCCCTCGACACATCTCTGAGGGGCTCTGGCCACGCAATGCTCAGTTAAAATGACTTCAATTCTCTCTTGGTTCCGACGCCTATATTCTCTGGATACGTTGGATACTCGTTTCATTGTCTCTTCAAATACGCCGCTAAAGGCCGTCGCTGCTGACACGCGATCTGCTCCCGCAAAAGATGCCCGCGCAAATGCAATTGCCAGCAATGCTGCTCCTCCTAAGTGGCGCACGCCCGAGTTCTGGGTATACTATGTCATCTTCCTCATTGCAGTACCGTTGATGTTCAAAACGGTTATCGAAGTGTCACAGGGTATGGCATTCTGCGCCAACGGAGACAGGCCAATGCTGACTATGCTGTAGAGAGTCATCCAACCTATCCAACATATTCTCATTTACTGTCCCCGGGCTGGATAGCCGGGCGCAAAGTGGTAAGTGCTTCGGTCTATACTATGCGGTATACTGTTGTTTATTCTTCGTCTCCCGGGCAGGACAATTCGGATGCGCAGTATTCCAGCTTTCGTGATAACATCCCTTACCTCCTCGCGCTTTTGGTTGCCCATCCACTGCTCCGTCGCGTCTACGAACACTTTGGACAATCGGTCGATGCAAGCTCTACTCAAACAAAGGCCAATGCGACTACAGCTCAGGGAGACGCTCGCCTGGCCCGTCGGGTACGGTTTGACTTTTATTTCGCCCTGATTTTTATCGTTGCTCTCCATGGTGTGTCTGCCATAAAGGTGCTCGGTATACTATATGTAAACTATAAGGTCGCGAAATCGCTTCCACGACAATATGTGCCTACTGTTACCTGGACATTCAACATTGCGATACTGTTTGCGAACGAACTCTGCACGGGCTACCCCTTCGAGCGCATAGCCGCCATGCTGGTGTCTCCAGCAGATAGCGCCGGACAGGAGTCTCCTTTAGTCCTATGGGGTCGGTATCTCGATAGCTTTGGAGGTATAATGCCTCGGTGGGAGGTGCTTTTCAAGGTCACGATATTGCGGCAGATCAGCTTCAATATGGATTATTATTGGAGCCTTGATTATCCAGCCTCGAGTCCCATTGAAGTAAGTCATTGCCCCCATAAACAAGTTCTTGTCTAACGGTTATAAGAAGAAACAAGCTGATCCTACGGCACTATCGGAGCGTGACCGCGTGAACATCCCGGCGGAGCCCTCCGCATTCAATAGCCGCAATTATCTCGCCTATGTCCTGTATTCGCCATTATATCTAGCCGGGCCTATTTTAACATTCAACGATTATATCTCACAGCAGCGCTTCCCACCTCTATCTCTTACCAGGTCCCGCGTTACTCGCTACGCCGTCCGATTCCTTTTGACTGTACTGGCCATGGAATTCATTCTCCATTTCATCTACGCAGTGGCCATCTCCCAAGCACACCCGGACTGGTCATTATATAGCCCTGGCCAGCTCAGCATGCTGGGCTTCTTCAACCTGCACATCATCTGGCTGAAGCTCCTAATCCCATGGCGATTCTTCCGACTCTGGGCCCTAGTGGACGGCGTCGACCCACCAGAGAACATGGTCCGTTGCGTCTCAAACAACTACTCCGCATTTGCCTTCTGGCGCGCCTGGCACCGCTCCTTCAATCGCTGGATTGTGCGTTACGTTTACGTGCCCCTAGGCGGAGGACGAGGTCGAGCACGCGGCGACGATAACAAATCCTCATCTGTACTCTTTACCAAAGCCCGCCAGATCTTCAACTTCCTCATCGTCTTCACCTTTGTTGCTCTCTGGCACGATCTCAACCTCCGTCTCCTCATGTGGGGATGGCTCATCACCCTCTTCGTCCTCCCCGAGATCATCGCTACTCTACTCTTCCCCGCGCATAAATGGCGTTCCCGTCCTAATACGTACCGCGTCCTTTGTGGGATTGGTGCTGTAGGGAACATTCTCATGATGATGATTGCCAATTTGGTCGGGTTTGCTTTGGGCTTGGACGGAATCCAGGGCTTGCTAAACGAGATGCTGGGGTCTTATTCTGGTCTGGTTTATCTGGCTACGGCCTGTGCGGCGCTGTTTGTAGGAGTCCAGGTTATGTTTGAAATCCGGCAAGAGGAATTACGAGCTGGTATCAATTTGAAGTGTTGATTTACATACATAGATACATACATATACATTTTAGTATGATAGAAATCGAAAGCTATATATCTTTCTTCCATCAAGCTAGTGATATGAGCGCCGTAGGTTTCACGCCGTTTGCTGGATATTGGGAAAAGGCATCCGGGTCTTGAAATGCGCCCTAGACCTTTGTTTGCAATTCTGGAGAACTTCACAAGCCTGAGATAGATGGTTCCTATCTGCCTTTTATGGGCCGGACGTCTCTGAGCGGTCAAATGGACCAGCGGTACCCATGGTTAGGGGCGCGAGCTTGCACGAGACAGCCGCCCGCGACTATGTTTGAATGAAGACGGACGCTTTATTTCCTTCAACCTATGCATCGGAGCGTCTTTCTGGAGAACAAGCTACTCAGCCCGTACAACTTGGTAGCGTTAAGAGGCGCCGAACCTGAAGGAAGGCTTCTTCTGTGCCTCATCAAGTAGGAGTGGAATATATCGGGGGAAGCTAATAGACACATGGCCTATACTGTGACTATAAGATAATAGCACCCGTGTATTTCATGATGATGTCGTCAAGACAAAGTAGAGCCTCTCTCTCTCTCCCTCTCTCTCTCGGTTCTGGAAGGGAATATGCGTTGGTGTCTGCCTTGGGCTGCGAACAGCGGATCCCGCTTCAGGCGAGTGTAATCTTCTCCCATAAAGCGATCTGATGTTTCCAATATGACGATCTGGACGCGAAAAACGATCATCCGGTAGGTGGTTTTTTTTATTTTAGCCGATCCGATTGAATGGCCTAATAGAACGCCCCACATCTTGAGTCCTCATGAAGTTTGTAACAATCCAAGCCGCAGGTCCGCGAAGGGCAGTTCTTGCAGCGGATCTTGCCCCAATAGCCGCACACGCAGCAGAAATACCGCTGCGATTTCATTGTGACTGGCGGACCGGCGCGAGAAGCATTATACGTCAATGGTGGCTCCGCCAGAAGTGCCTGCATGATACGCTCCGACGGAGCAGAGGGAATATACGATTTTAGGAGGGGGTCATTGTCGTGCTCGGTTTTGATAAGTGCTTGCTTGTCCTCAGGTTCCTTCGTTGGCTCCTTCTCCGTGTCTTCTGTGGTAGCGGCGCTCGGTGGTTCTGCAGGTGTTGCCGATGCTCTCTGAGACGCGGGTACCGTGGAGGATTGTTTCTTCTGACGCGAGGATTCGGGTTTGGGCGTTGTGGCGGGTGTGGAGCTTCTTCGTAATGATGATGGTTTTGTTACCTTGTTGGCTGGGGGACGCTGCGTCGTAGTCGACTGGGCTGCTTGCGCTAACGCGGCTTCTTCGTCGTCGAGATAGTTTCTGAAGGTTTTCTGCGATTGAAGGATACGGCGCACGTTCGAGGTAACCTTGCCCCTTGTTCCTGGTGAGTGGTAGAACGATTGTTAGCCTTTATCCTGTCGCAAAACCCGTCAACGCATTTCGGGGAAGATCAAGATACCTCTTCCAGCTGCATCTTTTTGTTTAACGGGGATCGGAATATGGACATCTTTGTGATTTTCCCGATCGAGTTCTGCTAAATGTCGGATGATCGCATTGGCCTGTCTTGATGATACATCTCCACGGCTGCCGGGGTCGCGAATGCCTCGTTTCCTGCCGATGGTGGGCGTGATCGCTGCTTTGGATGGGTCGAAGCCCCTGTCAGGGACGTAGGTCCATCCCGGAGTGAGGTGAGTTGTCGTACTCGGAAGAAGTTCGACGTGATACATTGCCGGTACGAAAGGGGAAAAGGAAAACGGATTGTATATCAGTTTTAAGACAATGTTATCGCAATGGCGTTTCTTTTGGCGTTCCCCGAAAATGTTCCATGGAACATTCTGTGTTTGCTATGTTTGCATTCCAAAAGGAATGACGCAGTTGACCTGATGGCACTTTTACTACAGTAGGTTACAAGGTAAGATATCAGATGTCCAGTTAATATATAAAAAAATACGTCTTTTTATGTAGTAATAGATGTAGCGCATGAACAAATCACGTTCTCCTATTAAAGCTCACTCAATGCCGGACATAACTGCATCTGAAAATTGAATATGTTGTGAAAACCATGCGGAAACAAACTCCTGATAAAAGATATGTTGGGAACTGGTTCTGGCGTTATTATGTGAGGACTATTTCTTCCTCAGCTGGTCCACTTTCGTCTCCAGTTCACCGATGTATGTCTGAAGCTTCTGTGTTGCTGTTTGAAGCGCCTGTTTAAACTGGTTAGTATGATTACCTCGAGCGAACAACCCGAAATGTGAAAAATCAAGGGGTAAGAGGGGACTGTATGCTATGTCTTAAACTAGGTGACACTTGTGTGAGGAAAGACAAATCTGTGTTGAGCATCAAAAAAACAGATGGAAGAATTGTCGGAGGCCAAGTGATGAATCAGAAAGAAGAAAATGAAACGAGAGGGAAAGCAAAGACAAGAGAAGATTATGATAACGGCAAGTTGGAGGAAAAGAGAAATATATAAAACAAAAGAGAGACCCATAACATACGTATATGTCCTCTGTCAACATCTCGTTGGTCACTCTGTACTCCCCAAGGATGTAATAGTAGACGGAAGCACCGGCAACAATAGTGCCAGTAAGGAAGCCAAATATTCTAGCATTACGGGCGGGTTAGTTACAACCAAAGGGTAGCCCTGCCTGCTAAGACGTATACTCAGTAAAGCTTACCCTCCGCGAAAAGCCCCAACAGGTTTTTTAGCGGGCAACGTGGAACCTGCAGCATCTCTCACGGATGGCGAGGTAGAGAAGCTCCTTCGCACGGGGATGACCGCACGCCTTGTTGCGACTGAGCGCAACCCAGGAAATGCCATTCTGTAAGCACTCATGATCATAAATGCCCCAGATGTCTGATACTCGGATTAGCAAGGAACATTCCGGAAAAGAAAATCACAGCGAGGATTAGCTGCTCTTACAAGTTCAGGTGATGGAGGTTCGGCAAAGCTTGAAGTGACGTTGGTGTTTGCCATTTAAGCTCGGGTGGAGACGGCCGCTAATCATCACGGGCCCGAAGTTAAGCATGTACGTATCCCTGCCTAAGGTATCCGCTTGGCTACTAGTACAATGATAGTCATTGTCTTCTCATCCGCAGAATTTTTTCGCTACTGTCAAAGAAAATACTCCAAATATATGTTTATTCATTCATTGACCGTAAAGATCCCTGGGATATGATCCAATAGGCTGTTCCCAAACGCCTGACTAGTCTCGCAAGGGGTCAAAGCTGCACAACAGCTTGCAACACTATCTAACTCTTGAACAGGAAAGAAACTGTACCCAGTATTTGGATATAATACAAATGAGATTTCACCATGGTCGCCTAGAAAGCCAAAGGAAAAGGGGGGACTTAATTTGCCATGGTACTCTCGTTGAATAGGTCCGCCAACAGATCATCGTAAGATGTTGTCAAGCCGGGACTGCTCATGCTGTAAGTGCTTTCGAAAGCATGAATGCTGAGTTGTTCAAACCAAGGCCGAAGAGCCCGGTCAATGAGTTCATCTTTCGCCGTCTCACGGATCCAGTCCGCTGTTAGACCCGGCTGTTTTACACTATAGCCAAGCTCGGTCGACTCCCTGGGGCCGTCTGCGGCCGCGGAGCGCGTTCCTAAGCTCTGTGAAATCTCATCCGCAAGGGCCATAGGCTCCCAGCGTTCTGGTGGATAGACGGCATCTATCGTATCTGTAACATAGAGCCATTCAAGTAGCTGAAAGTCATCCGGGGCAAGGACGAGTAACGTGTCAAGAAGCTTACACGCCTGCAACAATGCATATGGACTGTATACTTCTTGCTGTAATCCAAGCGGAACTGCAGCAATAGCTTCTTGAAGCTCCGTATTGATCAACGGCCAGAATGGAGCCAGCACTGTTGTAGAACTCTTCAGTGCAAGAGCCCGAAGAACCATGAATATCTCCGCTCTAGTCGTGGATGACGGTGATGATGAACTAGTAGCCCCTAGGAGATCTTCTAGCTTCTGCAGAAGTCCCGGTAGTTCTCCAATAAAGTAGTCATTGTTCGCGGACAAGATAAGCAGAGTAATCCTACGGAGGTTCAATTGTGCCTTCCTATCGGCATCTAGGCGGGCAGCAGACGCTCCCACACCAAACATTATTCCCGCAGTGCTCGGGGGTGGAAGCCGAGACATCAGCTCAGATAATCGATCCTTATCAGCAAGCACCCACTGTCGCAATAGGTTCATCCATCCACCCTTCACAAGTTCGAGGTGAGAACTGAAGAATCTAGGATCATTGAAGGCTTCCGCGACGTCTTTCTTCCAGACCTTCGCGGCAGCCGGAACCTTTGCGATATGTTGCAAGAGAGCCATAAAATTGTGGCTGATGTTGTTTGGGAAAAGCCGCGATCGCAAAAGTGGCCCTATTACATTGGTTGAAATGCCTGATACAGCTGTAGTAATACGATCCGAGTCGCCTAATGTAGTTGTGAAGGCAGGCATAGAACTAGCAAGGATGCTGAGCATGTCATCAGGTCCGATATGAGGTGCTGACAGATTATCATGCTCTAAAGAGCCTCGACCCAGCAAACCCGACTCCTGTGACAGCCCCAGAGGCTTGCTGGTAAATATTGCCGTGAGCAAACGTAGCAGTACATCCTATGAAGGTTAGCACATGTAATACCTCATCAACTGATAGGTCACGCACCCCAAGTTCCTTCCTCATTCGACGATCCTCACCGAAGCTGGTGTTCTCCAACTTCGCACCAAGGATAGCGGCGAACTCAACCAAACGAGGAAGTATCTGTCTGTGTGGGAATGGGTTGCTCAAAACATCACGCAAAAAGGTAGTACAGTCTGTCCAAATCTCGTCGAGAACATCGTCATCAAGGGATCTGGCATAAGTGACTAGAAAACCTGCTAACTCGTTTTCTGTAAGTGTCGACGATAGAGTAGATTTACGACTGGGTTCTAGAGCGGAAGGGTTCGTCCTGGTGTAGATGGCGTTAAATACAGCCGGGATGGTAATTTTTGGTCGAGAACCATCTAGAGTGTGAAGTAGGCTGAAAATCAGAGACGAGGTAGTACTGTCTGTCTTCGTCCACATCTCTACCAATGTCTCAAGGCATTCAAGGGCCTCCGCTGTAAACAGATGCTCGAGAATCCGACGGGAGCGGTTCCTCATTCGCAAAGATGTATATTGGAAGGATGCCAGAGACTCAGCATCTTGAGGAAGAGTACTTCTCTCCACGGCCCCCCAAGCCCAGATAGAAAAGCACAGGCGCACAGCATCTTGGAAGCACAGTAAGACAGTAAGTCTATTATTTGCAGCGGTCGAACGACCGTGGCTGGCGTCTGAGGCAAACACGCCTGATACCATATTTCCAAAGAACCCCTGAGGTTGATCTGGGCTCTTAGCAGCAGGGACATTGGCTTCATCCACGAGAAGACGCTCATGAGCAGTAGCAATGCAAGTTTCAAGACCGGTGAGTAGAGCTATAGTGGCATGTTCGGACCTATCCTCGGGCCAACCTTTTGTGTGCTTGAATGAAAGTTGCAGATTTGCGTACGCAAGTTGTATCTCTTTACAGAAGCAATCCACTAGCATCAGGATGATCTGGAATATAGACCCTGAATATAGCGGAAGCACTTCACAGAGCAACATCGTCCATCTTTCCACGGTGCCCCTCGAGTTCGGAGAGCTCATACCTTTGAGAATACATTCTAGGAATTTCTGTGGAGGTTGTGGCATGGCGGGGATCGGGGGCGCTTTTTCGGCCTTGTCGCTCGTAAATGATAGAATAGAGGGACTTGTTAAGCGCTCACGTGAGCTGGCTCTCTGGTGTTTTGGCTTAGGAGGAGGCTGTGGTAAGTACGCCTGAGCAAACCGAACCTTCAGGGATGCAAGAAGAGTGTCAATGAGAGCTCCTTGGATAGCGATGCTACCACCATCATCCAGTACAGCAGATAGTCGTTCAACAAGTAGGGAGTCAATTCCAGACTCAGCCACCTCTTCCGCTCCTGGGCCTAGCAGGAGTTGGCGCATAACAAGTAGGGATGTTTGTTGCAACTTAACTTCGTCGAAGCTTGTCTGTGGCGTCGTCTTCGGACCACTAACTATTCTTAGGATGGCGTGGAATATGATCGAGTGTAAAGTCTGGGTCCCAGTGTTATCTGTAGGTATTGTGAGTTTTGGCATGTTAAATTGAAGTCACGAAGCTCACCTTCCGAAGCAGACGTATCATGGTGTCGGTCACCTTGAGCTGGCGGCTGGGTCAGTAAAGTAACCCACCCATTGTGGGGGATGACTGATATGATGTTATGAATGGTCTCCAATAGATAGCTACATTCCTTGTAATCATCGGGAGAAATGGAAAGGGTTGTTTGATTTGCCCCAGAGGGATCCGTTTGGGTGAAAAGACTATCCAGCCGTGAAACAACGATATGGAAGACCCTATTTCATCCTTGAGTAAATATATCAAAAACAAAGGCCTACTTGAAGAATAAGGGAGCTTACTTGTGTATGGAGGGAAGATCTTGGAGCCAACGCTGGACCACCTCAGAGGCTTCGCTAGGGGCTTGGGAGAGCGAGTCTAGGACAATAAAAAGTGGACGTTCAAGCAGGGAAGATTGGTAAGAAACCTGGATCAGCGCCGAATCCTGTGCGTGCTTCGAAGGATGCTCATAGGCACCATGGTGGCTGTGATTCCACAATACAAGGTACCTTCCAATCTGTTCCTCCGACAAGAGTTGACGTGACGTGTTGGATGAGTTG